GTGAATCCATGGAAGGTAGCCAAACTGGAGACCACCGAGAGCGGTCACCAGCTTTTCCCCCTCGCCAAGGACGCCCTGGAAGGTTCCTCAAGCCGATCCACAGCCTTCCAGACGCTGCATGGTGATGTCAGTGCGAGGGTACAGCCTGCCGTTGAGTAGGGACAACACCTTCTGGTGGCTTTTGGCGCATCCGATCACCAGAAGGAAAAATGTAGTTCAGCGCCTGTGTACAGTTCGGATTCATTCTGTCATGATCACATGTGTAATGTTTCGAGTGTTTTGTCCAGACAAGAGAAGCTTCAAGAGCCTAGGAGTATCAGCCTTAGCCCAAAACAACAACTCCAGTCCATTGAGCTCCAGGCCAAACAGATGTCGAACAACATGGCCCCAACACAACAGGTGCGAAGATTTCTTCAAAACATACCATGGCATGTTCTTCAAGCAGGTTCCGCGGCAAGACCCGTGCTTCCATGCTCAGCACCAGGTAGCGAGAGAAAGCCAGGCTACGTAGTGTTTGGAGCCTTCATGCACGGGGGAATCGTAGGGATCACGAAGGTGACTAAGCAGATGCCGTATCTGACCTGTCTTGTGTTGTCTGAGGTACGCAACCAATGCCATGACTTTGTTGGAACTTCCGTGTGCGTGTCATGCAACGTTCAGTCTTCTCCGCATCGGGATGTTTTCAACCTTCGGGGCTTTCAGAATGTGGTGGTTCCTATTTTGCGACCTAAGTTAGGAGGCGAAGTTTGGACTGAAGATGCTGAGTGTCAAGAGAAGGGCCAAGTCATGTCATGTGGAAAGGGAGAAGTGAAGGGTAGGATTAATCCTCTTTCGAGTCCGGTGAAGCTGTGCCCTCAAAAGTGGCACGCGACGTTGCCCTGGCAGGGTGATAGGATAGTTGCCATTGGATACTCCATAGGTGGCTATGCTAAGCTGAAGCCTCAGGACCGCCACTACCTAAGGATGCATGGTTTTCCTCTACCAGGTCCACACCACGCGACACAGCATGCCAGCATGGCCCAAACATTGCGGCTCAGATCGTCCCAGGCCTTGTGCGACAGTCCACCAGCCTCGGCAACCCACAGCTCGCTCCAAGATGCCGGCCGTGAATGTGACAAAGAAGGAGATGCAGGACAAACTCCAGTCGTTGGGGGAGACAGCACCCAGCAGCTGGACCAAGGTCCAACTGTCAGCGCGCCTCGCCGAGCTGAATGCCGAGAACCAGGAGCACACCGAGACCATC